GAAGAAAATCTGAAAAACAAATGAGATTGGAAAATTATGCTGTGAACTTACGTTTCTCTTCTTATAAAATTCTTCCCAGCCCCCTGCAGCTCACAAGGCAGATTACTCAATTTCCCGCCATCCCACATCAAAGCCAGGTGGTCGGTCCTGGCTACAATTTAGGATCACCTGAGAAGCTTTTAAAAGTTCCGGTGCCAGACAGGAGCCCTGACCAGGGAGAGATATCACAAACTTTGGCAGTGGGACCTAAGCATCGGTATTTTTTAAAGGTCCCCAGGTGATTCTAATAGGTCATTAAATGGGGACCCCAGACCGACAGTATCCCCTTGGGAACTTGTTAGAAATGCAGATTCTCAGGCTCCACCCCAGAAACCCTGGCGGTGGAGCCAGCGATCCGCGTTTTTACAAGGTGATTCTGAAGCGTGCAGACAGTGCAGCACCCTGCCTGAGAGCGAGGCCGAGGACGGCTGGCCTGGCGGGTTTTCAAAGCAGATGTTTCTGGTTGCTTCCTCCGGCCACTGAAAAGTCCATCTGGATTTAAGCAACGGGTCTTCCTCGTGCTCTCAGCAATGTGAACTAATTACACAAGCTCCTCTGACCTTGCTGTGGGTTCTAAGATCGCCTGCTGTAATTCTTCTAGAAGCGATGAGAGCTCTAACCGTCACTGGTGGCACAATTACTTGCCAATTGTGGTCACTCTGGGATTTGGGGGCGGGGGTGGTGGTGGTGGTGGTGAATTATAACCAGCTCGAGGCCTGCTCTCTGGGGCCAGGTTCTCTGCATTCGTAAGTGGTTTCCAGGCATTTAAAAAGAAAATGCTGCCCATCACCTTCGGAAGCCCAGCTGCCCAGAGCCTGGGATCTGCAGTGATTTCCAGCAGACCAGCAGCTCTGAGTATAAGCCTTGAAGAAGAAAAAAAAAAATGTTTTGCCAAACGATTCCTGCCACCCCATGGCTAGAACGGGGCACAGTGCTGGTTTTGCGCAAGAGTCGCTTGCAGCCGAAACCCTGGCCGCTCTCCAGGCACAGACTCGGAAGCCCTGGAGGCATCGTTGTTGCAGGAAAGCGACACCCCAGGGAGGAAACGGAAGGAAATTGGAGGAAATTGGATGCTCAGACAGTTTTCTTAGAGGAAGGAGAATTTATTGGCCGGCAGAGCACGTGGGGTTAACTGGGGTTAACGACACCGTACAAGAACTCCCCTAGGTTAGATTTCTTAAGGCTCATATACCTCTGCAGTGTGCATGCAAGGGGGGCGCGATTCCTTTGTCTGAGGTTCTAGTTGCACTTTGTGACTCAGGATGGGGAGGGGGAGCTTCAGGTGGGGACCTGCAAGGGAGGAGGAATTTCCAAACCACTGGACTTATCTATTTACAGGTCATTTTGCCTTGTAGAACCCCGACCTTGGAGGAATTTCCAAACCACTGGACTTATCTATTTACGGTCATTTTGCCTTGTAGAACCCCGACCTCGGCGTTATCAGCACAGCTACAGGATTCTCGAATAGAGAGATGGGACACTGAGGCTATAATCAATCAGAAAGCAGCACTTACTGATGCCGGCACCGGCTCAGCGGATTCCTATCCGAAGGCTGAGCCCCGATTGTAACATAACAGGCAGTTTTACAGTCTTGTTATTCCTACACAGCTACAGAGATAAGGAAGGATAATAGTTGGATAGCAAGCTATGTATCAATAGATGTGAGCTGCAGAGTCCTTGAGGTGGGGGAGGGAGCTGTGGGAAAACGCGTTAGCTGGAGAGCACTGGGCAGAGCGGGGGAGAGAGCAGTTTTAAGCGGCCGAGTCAGTCATTTCTGCAGGCCCTTTCCTTTGCATTTTTCAGATGCCTCCTCTCCTCTCTGATCATAAAAGGCGCAAACACGTGTGCTCCTCACTCCTGACCACTTCTCCGCCGGGTAAAGAAGGGAGCCACAGTGGTCAGCTATAGAGGAGGCAACCCCCAAACCCCAGATCCCTGGGCTGCTGTTTCTTAATGAGGTAGAGAAACCAACCCACTCACACGCAGGACGCTAAGTAGGCACCGCTGTGTGCCACACTCTGTGCTGGTTACTCTATGCATTCGGTTAGGGATCTGGAAGCCGCAGATGCTGGTGATGTTTCTTTCCACTTTCTGAAGGGAAAAACGACTGAGCTGGCCTAAGGACCCTGACCCGGGGTCACGTGGCCGTGATGCCGCAGGGCCAGAATCCAGACCCAGCATCTGAGCGCTGTCTGCTCCTCTCCTCCCAGCATCCCAGCCCGTGGTTCAGGGAGGAAGACAGTTGTCCCTTCTAAAAAGGGACTTGATTCTCATAAGTCGTTACGGCTCCGGAGGCAGCACATGGCATCCATTGATTGGCTACGTGAGCCACGAAGAACCGGGCCCCACCCGTGAAGCGGTATTAAGAAGTTCGAGGACGTCTCCCGTGTGCCGTGTGCCAGGCACTGGCCTAGGGAAGCTGTGGGGGACGGGGTGGGGACACAGAGACGATGACAGTGCTGAGTCAGCACAGTGGCCTTTCCAAGTGTGATGTGGGTGATGCTGACCCAGCCCAGGCGCCAGAGAAGGGCTTCAGGAAGGAAGTGAGAGTTAAGCTGAATTTTAAATCATGACTACACACCATTTAGGAGTTTCACGGGCCGAGGAGGGCAGCCTGTGCTGGAGACAGGCAAAGACATGACCATGAGGACAGAGTTCCACACGCGGCCAGGGGGCTGGAGCATGGGGTCCGGGCACAGCGGCCACGTGGAGCAGCGGAGGGAGGCGGGGCCCTTCCCACCTAAGGCATCACCCTAGAGGTGTCGGGGAGCCAAGCATGGCCTTTGAGCTGGGGACTGGCATGACAGGATTTGCAGTGAGGGTGACTCGGTTTCGGAGAGCATGACACTGCCGCTCAGCTCACGGAGGCGACGGAGGGCAGGTTCTAGTAGGAGGGTCGGGTGCTGGGTTCGAGGAGCCTGGGGATGGCCGAAGGTGAGTGAGTGCGTCCTTGGCAGGCCGCTAGCCACACTGCCATGGTGCTCAGAAGGGTGCCTGGGATCATGGCCACGTGGGAGAACCTGCAGGAGCAGGCGCAGCCACCCAAGGAGAGGGCAGAGGGAGAGGAAGGAGCACTGATAACAGAATTCTGGGTGCAGCAACGTTTCAGGGGTGCGTAGGGGAAGAGGGCGCAGGGGAGGAGCCTCCCGTCTGCCTGGCGCTGGGTTCTGTGCACGTTTGAAAATTAGGCCAGTTCTATAAAGCAGCAGCTCTAGGTCTAGTCTGGAGGTGTCTGAGGCCGACACTTGTCTTAGGCGGACAATGCGTGAGGTCACAGTCCCCATTGTAGCTGGGAAAGCCTGAGCACTGCCCCACCCCAACAATGTATATTGGAATTTTTCTTTCCATAGATTTCTGCCAGAAATTATACTCCCCAATACACCCTTCACCCTTAGTCCCAACAGCCACCCCGAGGGTGTTACACTCAACCGCTTTGAAGGTCTCGAGAAATAAGTAAGACCTCTTGTCTGACCAGTGGCCCCGTCTGGGTTGAGTTTGGAGTGTGGCCTCATCACTTGGCCCTGGGGATTTTGTTTTCCAGCAGGAACGGTGGGTAGAGGCCGGCATTTTCTCAAACAACAACAACAAAATGAATAAAACCTATTTGAGCTTACGAGGGATCACAAGGCCACTTCGGCGAGGCTTTCAGAACACGCAAAGCCCCTGACGCCGTGCCAGAGCTCACTGTTCCAGTGCCCAGGCCCGTTATGTGGATATCCGGGGACAGTGACATCCAGATTAAAGTGATGGGAGAGCCGTCACCTTCTACATCAGCCGTAGGCAGAGAGGAGGCGAACGCAGCATAAGCTGGAACGCTGGCCCCTTCGAGGGGGCCTCGACACGAAGTCCTGCACTCGTTGCAAAGGCTGGCCCACGGGAGGGCCGGCTCTCCACTCCTCCGATGTGCGTGGTGGCGTAGACCACCCATCATCGCCCGCTGCCTGCTAAGACGCCGGACGGCACCGCAGTCTGACTAGACGTATAAACCACCAGGCACCAGTTGGATGAAATGTGTGATTCTTTCCCCCAGGTCCATTGGGAGACAACGATGAGGCTGTTTGTCACCCCTTTCTTTATAGAGTTAGTGGCGCAGCAGTGTCCAGCTCTGGGGGATGGGCAGAGAGAATAAGTGGGTGCGCGCCATGGGTACCACGCAACAGTGGAGTTAAGGCATGTGGGTACAGGTAGCCTCACGAGTGAGCCGTAAAGCCACAGAGCTGAAGAGAAGAGAAAAAGACGGAGTTATATAACCCGAGACCATCACGCGACGTGTCGGTCTCCACGGCGGCCGTCACACAGCGCCAGAGACTGGGGGCTTAAACGACAGAAATGTATCTTCTCGAAGTGTCGTAAGCTGGGAAGTCCGTGATCCAGGTTCCGGTGAGGGCTCTCTTCCTGGCTTGCAGACGGCCACCTTCTCAAGGTGTCCTAACATGGCGAAGAGAGAGAGGTCTCTCCTCCTCCTCTTATAGGCTGCGGTCCTATAGGGTTAGGGTCCCATCGGATTAAGACGTTAACGTTAATCACCTTCATAGATAAAGTCACTAGTGGGGGTAAGGGCTTCCTATGAATTGGGGGGCAGGGACTCATTTGGTCCTTAGCACCTAAACTAAAATGCACCCATACAATGCAATGTGTATATTAAAGGCGCTCGTTCTGGTGGTCACTGACGGGGATGGGGGGCGGGAGTCGTGATGGAGATAAAGGGGAATCAATTTGTCACCTGATCCGTCAAGAGAGGGTGTTGTGCTGAGCCAAGATGGCAGACGCCATGGACTGAAGAGTCAGGGCACACAACTCGCCTGAGCTTTAAAGAATTGTGTGCGTGTGTGCTTGTATGTGTGTGCACGTGTGTGTGTGTGCGTGTGTGCGTGCGTGCGTGTGTGCGGGTTTTGGCCAAGACATACTTTTTGATTCCAGGCTGAACTTTTCTTGTAGAAAGTTTGCCCAGGAAGGTCGCTCACCAGCAGTAGGACCTTGAAGTCCAGGATGATCCTGCGTAACACCACGGCCGTGACACCCTTTCTGACCAAGCTGTGGCAGGAGCTGGTGCAGCGGGGCGTCAACGCATCCGGCCCGGTCCGTAGGTCCTCCAGTGACAGTGACGGCAAGCTGGAGGCTGTCTACATCCTCATGGTGCTTGGCTTCTTCGGTTTCTTCACCCTAGGCATCATGCTGAGTTACATCCGCTCCAAGAAGCTGGAGCACTCGCACGACCCCTACAGCATGTACATCCAGTCGGACGCCTGGCAGGAGAAAGACAAGGCGTACTTCCAGGCCCGGGTCCTGGAGAGCTACAAGGCATGCTACGTCGCTGCAAACCAGCTGGCCGTAGAACGACCCAACACGTACCTTCCCGAGACGAAGCCTTCGTCGTGATCCCACACCCGGTTAAAACCGGACAAAGCCTACTTGACAATCTGATTTTTCTAATGCTGTGCCTCTTAGACTCTTTATTATATGGATACATTTGGGTTTTTTTTTTTTTTCTATTGTAAGGGGTGAAAGGTGGGTTGATAACATTATTTCTCAAAAATCACATTCCTTCGATAACAGACTGTCAGCTGTTCCCCAGGATCTGTCCTTGCCCTGTTAATTTTAGCAGAAGCCCCGAGATCGTGGCCTCTGAGGATGAGCTGTATTTCCCAGGCTCCCTTGCAGCTAGCAAGGTCAGGTGATGAAGCTCCGGCCAGTAGAAGTGGGAGTGATACGGATCGTTTCTGAGAGACGCTTGAAAAGAAAAGGCCGTATCATTCACTTTCCCCTTTCCCAGCAGCTGGGGCGTGGCCGAGATGGTGAGCCAGCTTCGATTCTGGAAACAGACAGTGTATTCACAGATGGCAGAGCAACAAGAGTCTGGGTCCCTGGGCAGTGCTGTGGGCAGGACCTCCTGACCGTGCTGGACACCCACCAGCTCAGACTTTATAAGAAAGAGACACTAACTCCAGTCTTCCTTAAGCCACTGCTCTTTTGGTTTCTGGTGACGCAGCAGGATCGGTATCCTGAATAATTTACTTACACGCACCACACGGAGAAACACACACAGACACGCATTCATCCCCACAGATGCGTAAGTGCACAGGCACGCACACCCCACCGCATGCGCACACACCCACACGTACACACGCACGCTTCCAACTCACGTTTCCCACTCTCAAGGAACCTACTTTTTTCGCAGAGGAAAAATCCCCACTTCAGAATGGAACATGCTCAGTATCGTGGCAGGAGGGAGGAGAACACCCACCACCCCAAAAGCCAGGGGAGGAGTGGGTGCAGACAAACGGAAGCACATGGAGCTAAGGTGATGGGTGCATTGTGATTGAACCGTGTCCCCACCCCCCCAAAGATTCATTCAAGACCTGACTCCGGTACCTGCGAAGGAGATAATATTTGAAAATAGGGTCTTGGCAGGGGTCATCTAGCTAGGATGGGGTCATTAGGATGGGCCCTAATCCAATATGACTGACGTCCTTAGAAGAAGACACACGGGGAGAACCCCATGTGATGACAGCAGCAGAGGCTGGAGTGATGCGGCCACAGCCATGGCCACCCCCAGAAGCCAGAAGAGGCAAGGAGGGATTCTCCTTGTTCCATGTTCCCAGGGAAGCATGGCCCTATGACACCTCGACCTCAGACTCCTGGCCTCCAGGACCGTGAGACCACGAGTTTCTATGGTTTTAGGCCCCCTAGTTTGGGATTTTTTGTTACGGCAGCTACAAGAAACTCATACAGTGCCTCCCACTCTACCCCAGAGTCAGCTCCCTTCCTCTCAGCCTCCTTCTCTTCACGAAACAAGATTCCCTGGCAGACGAGAGATGAGGAAGGGCTCGGGGGCGGGGCCTCGTTAGCGTGACCCGACCGAGAACGCCACAGAGCGCGTCCGTCTCCAGCTGTCATGGGCGGCATTAGCACTCGGCGACATCCCGAAGGCGCGCGCTTGGGCCTTTTTTTTATTCCTGAAGAGGGGGGAATATTTAAAGAAAACATAGTCGTTCCAAACCTGCATATGATGTAAATTAAAAGCAACACGTGGCATTGTTGGCCATCCGCAAGGGGACAAATCGGGCCCAGTGCGACTCCAGCCCTTCCGTGTCACAGACAGCTGTTCCTCTGGGTGTGCTGGGAGGCACGGCTTCGGCTGGGACATCTCTGGGGCAGAAGCCTTGAGATGGGTGGTTCTTTGGGTCATAGAGTCCTTTGAAAATCTAATGAAAACTAATGACCTCACCCCCATACACACCCCCAAAATACACATGTGCACACCATTTTGCCCACCCTCTCGGGTGTTCATAAAACCCACTTGATGGCTGGCTCTCATGGCCCCATGTGAGTTTCTTCTGACAGACACATGTCGCCTGTGTTGAAGGAAAGGCAGGCTGGGAGCTTGAGTGTGGAGACGGACCCAAAGCACATATGACCCATCACGTGACTCAGTGTCACACTGACTTTGATATTCCTGGCGTGGGACCAGGCTCTTTATCACCAGTCCACTTGGCCCCACTGAAGTTCCTGTGGCTTTTCTTGCAGGGGAAGACTTAGTCCCCCCTGCCCTCGAGGGACCAGCCGTTCGGCTCACTTCTCTGCACCCCTCCAACCTCTTACAAGCCGCCAACTTTCAAACGCTTATTACCGTGTTTCAAAAATTGGTTTAACATACATAGAGTGCTTGCTATGCGCGAGTACTGTTCTGGGCTCTTTAAAAATAGAATCTCGATTTAGTATTTTATATGCACTATTTTATGTGTTCATCAGATAAGGCAACATGCCCATTGAGGTATTAATAAGATCTTCTTTAAAATTAAAGTCTTTTATCACGATCCGTGCGTGGTGTGTGATCTCTGAGTATCACTATGATACTTTTAGAAAGCGGATGTAGGTTCTTGCAAGCTCTGATAAGACTGCCTGAGGGGCTCAGGAACGAGGACATCAGCTCGCCCGCGGATGGTTGCATGCTGCGTGGACCCTCTGAGGCCCGGAGATGGAAGGCAGCACAGCGAAGCAGGGCACTTCCGTTGCTCAGCTTCATGCGTTTTCAGCCAGCCGGAAATGTGGCACAGTCTTGACAAACGTGTGGGTTTTTAAAATAAGCTGGAAATCTGGATATTTATTTCAAATCTCCTGATTTTTTTAAATATCAGCAATGCATTCAATTTTTTTTTTTTTTATAATTATGTGGGCCAAACAATATGACCTTGAGCTGAATTCTGCCCAAAGACCTCCGATTTATAACCTCTGCTTTAAAGAGAAAGAATAGCTCCCAGCTGGCCCCGAGCCATCCTGACAGAAAGCAGTCAGGGCGAGGACCCTGCATCCAAAGGGCTGCCGGCCTGGGGGACAGAAGCAGGCAGATTCGCTGGCAGCGTACTCCAAATGCGGTCTTGGCCAGCGGCTCCACAGGTCCCAGCCCTACGACGAAATGCTGCATCGGGCTGGGCTTCACTTGGCACCACGAGGACATGCCATTTATCTGACGCCTCCTTTGGGACGTCAGGCCTCTCACTCTGTCACTATAGAAGAATGCATTACAATTCCAATTTTGTCCCCTCAGGCCCTTGGAACTAGTTGTGGGAGTCCGCCCTGGTGAGAGAGACCCACTACGTGCAGACAGATTGGGCTTCTGAGCCGCCTACCAGACTGAGGGCTGACCGTGGACTGGGGCAAATTAGCCGACATGCACACCTCACCTGTCCTGGAGTTTCCTTGCCTGGCTTGGGATAGCTCTAAAACTTCTCCAGAATAGGTTTGCAATTCATTGCACAGTTGGCCTTGAAGAGCCATCAAGGTTAACTACACCATTAACTGTCTAGTTGACTGTCACTGAACTGCTGGAGAAACAGACTCAGCGTGGACACACCCAAGGTCATCAGATGCTTAAAGGTGGAAGCCAGCAAGAGCTCTCCTTCCCTAACTTCTGGCTCTCACCCTCCTCCAGGTGCTTTGGCAGGGCAAGGGCTCCTGGACGCCTGCCAGGTGGGGAAGGAATGACGGGCCTGCGCAGAGGTGGAAAGTGACTGCCGATGACCATGGGGAGCAACGACTTTGTGGATATTGCAGGGCAGGGGCGGGGATACCGCGAGGTTACTGACTTTATTCTTTTGTAGACACTAACTCAACTTGATCGTTTTTAAATAGGATAACGGTACTATCAGACAGTTTATTCTCAAAAAGGGTCCCACTGCCATAAGGTAGTCCAGCACGTGAGCCAGCCCATGAAAAAAGGAAACGACAAGCGAGCAGGGAAGGGGCGGGGGGAGAAAGCAGAACGAGCCGAAAACGACGCCACGTTGCAGACCACGAGCACGTGGTTCGAAATGTTGCCTCTGAGCCTCATTCTCTCACCAGGATGCTGTTGTCATTCGACAGTAGCCACAAGACTTAGAGATAAGCCGACAGGCAGAGGAAACAGTGATTTCATAAACCTTGGGTCTTCAGGCGAGGCTGGGCTGAGTGCAGACCATTGCCCATCAGTCGATGACTTCTCCTTGGGCACGAGTGAGACGTAAGTACTAAGTCAGACTCCGGGAGGTCACCGAAGGCTCCGAGCGCTTGGGGACTCAACAGATGGAGAGCCGTGAACGGCTTGGCAGGGCGTGGTTAAGTCTTTGAGTGAGCACAACCAATCCGAGTACACAAAGGAGTCGAGGTTGAGAGCAGGTGGCCTCTCGGGTGCATTGCTGAGCCCGGCATGGCAGATTTTTCCCAAACTGCTGGGTTCTGCCCGCCAGTCTCCCTCGTGCAGAGGAAGGAACTCGGGGTGCGGCCGCCCCCTGCTGGCCACGTCGAGCCTATCTCTCATTGCACAGGGAGGTTGCTGGAGCCGGGTGCGTGTTCTCCCCGGGGCTGTATGAGCTTCTCCGAGTGACCTTGAGACGCTCTCCGGAGACTGAACTTCTATTGACGGGTCAAGTTCAGCGACACAGGGCGAGCGGAAGCCTAGACAAGAGAGAAACCGTCTTCTGGAAGCACCTTATGAGGCACCGCCTCTGAGCAGGGAGCTCAGAGCTCTCGGGCGGTAGCTGGGACCCCTTCTCCTTTCCTTCGTGCTGGAACCTGCTCGTCCCCCTTCCCTTTCCAGAAATAACTCTTTATCATCCCTTTCAGTTCTGGGAAAATAATCTCTCACCCAGACCCAAGCCAAGCCGCTTTCAGTTCTAGTCCTGCAACCACCCATGCTGTGCATTCGGGAAGGAGCCACGCCTGGAAATGGTGGGGAACGCTGATGTTCTGGGCGCTTCCTCCTCACCCTACTGCCCAGGGACAGAATCCCACTCTAGGGGCATGATGATGGCCCGACACAGCCCCCTGCCCTGGTCACCGAGAGCGACGGCAGTTTCAGGAGTCTCTGATGAGGGGGACTGTGGCTGCTGGCAGAAGGGGCT